CCTTCAGAAAGCATTAGTCCCAATAAGACACAAAGTGTGCTTTCCCAGCTGCGCTCTCACCCCTTGGTTGACAGAAGCCTTGTAACCAAATATCACAACCTGCAACACTGTGGTTTCATCTAAGAAATCTGACGGCGGATCCTGCTCCATCGTCTCCATCGAGTGGTTTACACTCAATGAGTTATATTTTTAAGCTGTACTCCTCTCATCTACACTTAGAAAGCATTTGCTGAAGTCTTTGCCATCAGTTGCTGAACGAACATTGCAGTTTTTCGAAGAAATGGCTAGGATGTGGTGCTATGCAGACCTCGCTAGCATGTGGCGAAATCTCCCATTGTTGATTGTTCGAGGTACGTTTTTTACAGTCACTTCAAATATTGTAGAAACTTCTTCCTGAACGTACCTGTGCTCTAGGATAGCACTCCGAAGGAAGGAGATTTGGGAGGCTTGTAAGATAAGAATGCTTCGCTACCACAGGGGAGAACACTTAATAGCAACAACAACACCATAGGAGGAGACCCCCACATAATCTCAGGTGTGGTTGCTGAATAAACTGATACACGTACTGCTATACGTCCTTTTAAATGGCGGATAACGGATCAGTATCACTCGTGAAGATCATCGGAAGGAGTGTTCATAGTTAACAGTCGTACGTGCGATTAGGCGATCAGCCGAGTAGTCGATTAGGCGAGTAGGCGAGTAGGCGATAAGGGTAGGATATGTATTGATTTGTTGCTCCGCCCACTTGAGCGATCGCCTAATCGCCTAATCGCTTATGGAGCGTTCATAGTTGGCGATTAGGCGATTAGGCGATTAGTCTAACTGAAAAATATACGTATAGATTAGGCGAGTAGGCGAGTAGGCGATTAGGCGATTTGCACGACACCAAATATGTTCCCGTCCCACCCCCTATATCATGTCCTGCCTGAACCAACTACTTGACGAACCAACTCGGTGGCCGACTTGATTAGTCAGACATGACAACACCACAGCACAGCCAGCGCTCAGCGATGTATACGTAATATAGTAAGGATAACCTTTAGCCGATGTCATATGTTTGCGAACTGAAGCGTTGCGCCAGCAGATGCGAACATTCGCAACAGCCGCAATCGAACACGAATGTACCCAGAGCGAGTCGACACTATGTAGGTACCAGGCGACTCCAGTAATGGGTGAGGGACCACTTCCTTTTGCAAAAGAAAGCCCGCACATTCCAATCCGGTGTCTAGCCGTCACAGTGGACCCGTCTGTTAAATAGTGGGAAGAGCGAGATTTGACATTGGCAGTCACTGTTTGAAAAAAAGGGCGAGGGTGTATCCGTTTAAACAGTTGTCCCGCAACCTAAGCTGGAGTTGCTGGTACCTAGTTCGACTCGCTGGTACATCGTTCGACTCGCTGGCGCAAAGTTCGATTCGCTGGTGCAACGTTCGATTCGCTGGCGCAACGCTCGGATCCAGCGATTCGCTAGCGAATCGCTCGATTCGCAAACTATGACATCGGCCTTAATGTGCCCGCTCCTTTCTTTTCGATGTGAGTGATTGCTGATACCTACCCGCCCGAGCAATTGGCTATAGAAAAAACACCGAACGTGCACACAATCCAGTCCATTCTTCTCAATGGTGCCTCGCCGGCAGCTGGAGTCGGCGGGTGGTAGAGGGGAGGGGGGGGGGAAGCAGAAGGGGAGGAAGGGGGAAAAGAGAAGGTGGAGAATGCTGCTTGCCATGCGCCGGAAAGGAAGGGTGGTAAGGAGGTATAACACATTCAAGTATGAGGCAGTTAATGGAGTACGCCATGCTCTCTTGCTGTGGTTTCCTGCTTACCGCTGTTTGCATGCGCGCGATAGCGGGTGGAGCAGAACTGGTTCTGCTATATATAATCGGCTAAACGGTTGTGTGTGTGTGTGTTTGTGTGTGCCCGGAAATTCACAACTTTGGTCCCTTTGGTCCCCGAGCACTCAAACTTTCAGGTGGTACGGAGGGCTGAACACGAACATCAACGGGGAAGTGATCGAAATTGATCCAGGAGTGATTAGAGCTGATAACAGATGTCGGAAAGCTCATATCACTAATTTCGCTAAGCCGTTTGCGTTGACAGTAGATAGAGTTTTCACTCATAAGGTGACGTAATTGATGTAAATGCTGTGTGACGTGGACCCGAACAGAGAGCGAAGAATGGGGATAGCAAGTGATAAGAGATGATAGCGTGCGCCGGAGAGAAATGCGGAAAACACTACGCTTAAGAATAAACAAAACCACTAACAGTTTTGTCCTCTCGGTCGCACTGGCACGTGTCATGTTTGAACCCATTCAATCTCACTGTGGGTTGAGGCGGACCATCGGAGGGCTGGGTTGGTATTAAGGAAAGCGGTGGCATGGTGACAGACATGGGTGTCAAGTGCTGAATATACCACCCCATAGAACTTGCCAGCTTTGACAGTAGAAAACCTTGGCGTCTTACACTATGTTTACGGCGG